TTTTTTTTTTTTTTTTTTTAACATTTATTCATTTTCAAGAGAGAGAGAAAAACACAGCCTGAGCAGGGAAGAGGCAGAGAGAGAGGGAGACACAGAATCTGAAATCTCCAGGCTCCAAGCTGTCAGCACAGAGCTCGAGGCGGGGCTCGAACTCACACACCACGAGATCATGACCTGAGCTGAAGTAGGACACTCAACCGAATGAGCCACCCAGGCTCCCCTAAATAAAAATTTCTATTAAGAATGAAGAGATTTCAACTGAACACAGGCAGGAAGATCACAACTATGTTAAAAAATAAAATAATAAAGGCATACAACAAAAGAAGAGTAAAATACCAACATATTAATAATACTATCCTCTAAATATTCACATACTAGATGACATTTCTGTGTTTCTAACCTTTCCAATTTTCCATAATGATGGTACATTAATTTTTATTTGTCAAGTAGGTAAATTTTATCTTTCATGAAAATAATTTACCTAATTAGGAGAACAAAATTAGACAATGATTTTTTCCCAAAAAAGATATCTTAAAACAAGGGAGAAAACTCCACAGAGGCTCCCTACCAGCTGCAGACTTTCTAATTCTGTATTTTATTTTTTTTTAATTTTTTTTTAACATTTATTTATTTTTGAGACAGAGAGAGACAGAGCATGAATGGGGCGGGGGGGGGGGGTGGTCAGAGAGAGAGAGGGAGACACAGAATCTGAAACAGGCTCCAGGCTCTGAGCTGTCAGCACAGAGCCCGATGCGGGGCCTGAACTCACGAACCGCGAGATCATGACCTGAGCCGAAGTCGGATGCTTAACCAACTGAGCCACCCAGGTGCCCCCTAATTCTGTATTTTAAAAAGGAATGAAATAAATCTCTGCATTGTATATGCTACTTTAATGAGGCTTCTCTCACTAGATGCCAAGTGTAATTATCAACTGAGCACTATTTTATTACTATTGACAATGTCAGAATTAAAAAACAAAATATTGCATAATATAGCATAGACTAAACTTTTCATGAAAAATACTTAAACATATGTAATAAAATGCAAAACCACCAAAGCTTGCCAAAAGTAGGGTTTACAGAGTGCACTGGTTTTATATTTGAATATTTGGAGAAAATAAGTAAATAATACAAAAAAAATTTAATATACTTACATTTATTTATTTATTTATTTACTTACTTACTTACTTACTTACTTACTTACTTACTTTTTTACTTCTCCTTTTATACATATGCTTAGTCCTTTAGTAACCTATTCCTTTGGGGGGTGGGGATTTCTTAAATAAAATTTCTATCAGTGCATTATATATCTAGTATATTTTAATAATTTATATTTTAATTTAATCATTTAAAAAGTACCCACACAACAAGTAACTAAACTCATTTTTGTTTTTAATTATAACCTATATTTTTAAGCAACAGTCACTAATCTGAGATTATTATGCTACTGTCACCAGCTAGACCTGACATTTACTACCCACCTGCTTGAACTCACTAATTTTTGCCTTACATTTTTTCCTTAAGATCTTTCTGCCTTACCTCTTAACTCAGGCAAATGAATCTGGAAACCACCCTGCAGGTTGCCCTGACCAGACCTCCTACCAGCCCAAGACCACACAGACCTTTTGAGCAAAACCTACAATTTATGCCTAGGCAAAACATCAAGGGACCTCTGGAATGACCTACCATTACCTTTATCTCATCATCATACTAAAATCTCCACCCAAGAAAGAACCTCGGGCTCATTTGCACAACATACAATGTATACATAGGCATGTTTCCTTAAAGCACATGGATAGCCTTATGCCCGCCTCTACATAAAATGAGAAGACTTACCTATCTAAATATTCATCCTAACCCTAAACCAAAGGTATCCCTTCACCTTCTCTCAGGGAGTCACAGGTTTGGAAACCATGCCCCTGGATCTCCTTATTTGATGCAAATCAAGTTTTCTTTGCACGAAACTCACCTGATACAGTTTCTGTGACTCAGCTAGAAGCGAACTCACATTGGTTTTGTTACACTGTTTCTCAAAATTCAATCTCACAGACTCACAATTTAAGTCACACACACAGGAATCATATGATAATTGTACTTTCTATATTTCTTTTTTTAAAAAGTAAATATCATAATCTGATTTTTAAAAACTTTTAGCTGCTCAAGTGTCAATATTTGGTATATGCATACCAACTGTTTCACGGTACATACCAGTAGCTTGAACATAGCATGGTCGAATAAGTGGTGTCTTCGGAATCATAGGAGATTTTGACAAACAACATTTAGTGTAAAGTTTTGAAGCCTCAAAGAAATTAATTTGAACTTGAATGCAAAAGTCATACCTTGCCACCTGACAGACAAAAAAAAAATACATTACACCTGTGATTATTTGTGCTATAAGAAATCTGTGGTACTATTTTTATTGTATATATTTAAAGTGTACAACTCGATGATTTGATAGACATATAATGAAATAACACCACAATCAAGCTAATTAAAACATAGCCATCACCTCATACACTTTACCTTTCTCACCTCCCCTCCTCATTGTGAGAACATTTAGGATCTACCCTCTTAGTAAATTTAATTATGAAGTACAATATTGTTACCAGAGCTACCATATTACTCAGCAATCCCACTTCTGGGTATTTATCCAAAAGAACTGAAATCAGGATCTCAAAGAGATACCTGCACTCCTAGGTTCATTGCAGCATTATTCACAGCAGTCAAGACATGGAAATAACCTAAATGACCATCAAAGGATGAATGAATAAAGAAAATGTGGTGTATACATACAATGGAATGTTTTTCAGCTTTGAAAATAGAAGAAAATCCTGCCATTCGCAACAATATGGATGAACCTGAAGGACATTATGCTAAGTGATATAAACTAGACACAGAAAGACAAATAATATATGATTTCACTTATATGTGGAATCAAAAACAGTCAAAGTCATAGAAACAGAAAATAGAATGCTGTACATAGGGGCTATTGAGAGGGAGAGAGATATGGGGACATGTTGGTCAAGAGGAACCAAGTTTCAGTTCTGCAAGATGAGTAAGTTCTGGAGCTATAATGAGATACTACGGATTTAGCAAAACAGCAGTTAAAAAAAAGACTCCTTTTTTTTAGGTTTTTAAACATTTTTATTTTTTGTTGTTTCAAGTTTTTATTTATATTCTAGTTAGATAACATATAGTGTAACATTGGTTTCAGGAGTAGAATTTAGTGATTCATCACTTAAATATAACACCCAGTGTTCATCATAACAAGGTCCCTCCTTAATACCCATCACCCATTTAGCTCATCCCCCCACCCACCTCCCCTCCAGCAACCCTCAGTTTGTTCTCTACAGTTAAGAGTCTCTTATGGTTTGCCTCCCTCTCTTGTTTTTATTTCCTTCCCCTATGTTCATCTGTTTTGTTTCTTAAATTCCACATGTAAGTGAAATCATATGGCATTTGTCTTTCCTGGCTGATTTATTTCACTTAGCATAATACGTTTTAGCTCCAACCATGTCATTGCAAATGAAAGGTTTCATTCTTTGATGACTGAGTAATATTCCATTGTGTATACACACACAATCCATTCATCAGTTCTTCTTTATCCATTCATCAGTTAATGAACATGGGCTCTCTCTCTAGTTTGATTATTGTTGATAATGCTGCTATAAACAATGGAGTGCAAGCATCCTTCTGAATCTGTATTTTTGTATGCTTTGGGTAAACAACTAAGAGTGCAATTGCTGAATTGTAGAGTAGTTCTACTTTTAGTTTTTGCAGAACCTCCATACTGTTCTCCAGAGTGGCTGTACCAGTTTGCATTTCTACTAACAGTGCACGAGTGTTTCTCTTTCTCCACATCCTCGCAAACACCTGCTGTTTCTTGTGTTATTAATTTCAGCCTTTCTGACAGATGTAAGGTAGTGTTTCATCATGATTTTGATTTGTATTTCCCTGATGATGAGTGATGTTGAACATAAAAAAAGAGTTTCATAGAGAAATTTATCTTGTGATGTTGAAACTGCATTTTTTTCAAAGTAAGACTTGGTTTATTTTTCATAAGCCCAAAAATAATTCTTGAAAATAAGAAATAAATTTTAAAAATAATTCCTATTAATTCAAAATAGACCAAAGACTTAAATATAAAACCTAAAACTATAAATCACATAGAAGAAAAACCTTTGTAATCCTTGGTTAGGCAAAGATATCTTAAATGTAATACCAAAAAGATAATCTACAAAAAAATACAATTAAATGTCCTAAAATAAAACTAAAACAAGTGTTCTGTTAAAGATAATGCTTAAAAAAATAAAATTAGAAGCCAAAAACACATTTTGGACAAAAAAAAAAAAAAATCCAATTTGCATTCAAAATATATAAAAGAACACATAAAAATCAATAAACATCAAACTTCCTAATAAAACTAAGTAAATGATGTGAAAAGACAACTGAGAAAATAAAATACACATATGACATATTGTCACAAGAAAAGACATTTAACATCATCACACATTAGGGAATGCAAATTGATTCAGAGGACAGAACACCCATCACACCTATCACAATGGCTTAAACAAAATGACATTACCAAGTGGTGATGAAGATGTGACCACCTAAAATATTACACATTGTTGATAGGAATGCACAATTTCATAGTCATTTTGTAAAACAGTTTTCCATTTTCTTAGAAAATTAATATGCGCTTAATATAAGGCCCAAAATTCCTCATCCTAAGTGTTTACCAAAGAGAAATGAACACCTGAATGTAAATTTTATAGTGGCTTTACTATTACTAAAACCTGAAAACAAACAAAATTCCCTCCAGATCACGAAAAGACAATAAAACTTTGGTAAATCCACACAAAAGAATACTTTTCAACAATAAAATGTAACGTATTAGTGTTACACATACTAATATGGATGAATATGATATGTATTATTCTAAGTAAGAGAAGCCAGACTGAAAAGGCAATATACCCTATGACTTCATTTAATATGATATATAAGTGAAAAAGGCAAAATTATACAAACAAAATGAGACCATTTTTTGTCATGAAGTGGAGTTGGGGGAAAGGTTGACTGCAAATAAGTAAAAGAAAAATTTACAGGAGGTTATACAAATGTTCTCTATATTGATTTCTGTATTTGCAATTCTACTGTACAATTTGTCAATGTTCATATAACAGAAAGAGACTTTTAGTGCATCATAATTTTTAAAACAAATGAAATGAAAAGAAGCTAAGGCTAATTCCTTAGCTCGGGTTTTAATACATCTGGCTTCAAAATCTAAAACGGACTAATAATATAGACAGCTAATGAGTCATAGAAGAAGAATGAACACTTAGAGATGCAGAACATCTTGGCAATTATACAGAGCGAGTCTCCCATTTTAAAATGAAGACTCTGTGGTCCAGCCATGACAGAAATATAACTTTGCATCAAAGAGAAAAAAAAAGAGTTCATCTTGATGTTTAGGGTTCACATCAGGAAAGGAGAGGATCATATCTGCCAAAAAATAGAAAGCAAACTCCAAATGCCCATCCCTCCACAGAAACATTGAAAAACAAGCAAAGGTTTACAGGACAAACTTTGTTAGAACTCCGGAAAATAGTCAAAGGGTATAACATGGTGATAGGTTTAGTTTGCTAGTATTCTCTTAAGGATTGTATTCACCATGTTACAAGCATTACATATCATGACAAAGTGGGGTTTACCCCAAGAGTGCAAAGGTAGTTCAACATACAAAACGCCACCAGTATGTGTGTTGTGTGCTGAATGCACAAGCTGACAGTCATTCCCTGCCTTCTGTAACTGCCAATTGCATGTACGTGGGAAGTTATGCTGGACTTACCCTCTCATACCTCACATCTTCACGGACAATTTACATAAAATGAGTTTATATCCAAGATAGCACTGTAATTATTCTGAATACAAAATTCAGAGGTTCGATGATTTCTCCATCCACATTGTCTTAATCTCTCAACAAAACTGTTAAGAATTCAAGATTTATCTACCTTACACAGAAACTCAGTGACACAGAGAGAGAAAAGAAACTGAGGGCTATCATTATGAAACCACTGAGGTATCTAATGAAGAGGGATTGTGACGTGTGCCACTGAAGCACTTTCATGGATGTCGTTGTTCAAACAGAGGAGTAACTCAAATTAAAAAATGATATTCTGAAGAAGATTTCAGTCCCCCAACCAGTGTTGGTAGAAAACAATGCTTATGAATAGAAAATGGGCAGGTGTCAGTCAAATGTCCCCTTTTATTTTTAATATGAAATTTATTGTCACATTGGTTGCCATACAACACCCAGTGCTCATCCCAACAGGTGCCCTCCTCAATGCCCATCACCCACCCTCACCTCCCTCCCACCCCCCAACAACCCTCAGATTGTTCTCAGTTATTAAGAGTCTTTTATGGTTTAGCTCCCTCCCTAACTTTTTTTTTCCTTCCCCTCCCCCACGATCTTCTGATAAGATTCTCAGGATACACATAAGAGTGAAAACATATGGTATCTGTCTTTCTCTGTATGACTTATTTCACTTAGCATAACATGTTCCAGTTCCAACCACGTTGCTACCAAAGGCCATATTTCATTCTTTCTAACTGCCACGTAATATTCCATTGTATATATAAACCACATCTTCTTTATCCGTTCGTCAGTTGATGGACATTTAGGCTCTTTCCATAAGTAGACTATTGTTGAAAGTGCCGCTATAAACTTTGGGAAATATGTGCCCCTATGCATCAGCACTCCTGTATCCCTTGGGTAAA